ATTACAGGACTTGAAAACTTCACTTTGTCATGGACAATGGATAGGAATAAAAGAAATCAAACTAAAATTAAGCACCTTATTCTGCTGTAAGGACAGGAATAGAGACATAATTAATTGGTTACCACTTGATAAAAGAGAAGCAAGGTGCTCATCGAAGTATGTAATAGATGAAGTTACATCGGATAGGAGTCATATTACATAGTATAAGATGTTTTTAATGGGAAGAAGGGTTTTCTATTACAGTACTTTCAAATATTTAGAGCTCCATTTTTGTTGCAAACCAATGTCTTCTTTTTGTTATGTCAGGTTGGAGAGAGATGCTCTGCCTCTTTTTAATATGTTAAGAGCAAATTTTAGGCCAAGTATTGAAAGGGAACCTGCGTTCAACGAGGTCAGATAACTTACCAAACCAAGTCATGATCTGTTTTCCTCTCTGTTGTTGGTAGAGAGATATTAGTTAGCAAATGAATATGTGGGCGTATCCGTATTGTCCAATGAAAATTCTAACCACTCTTCTGTGCTGCATTTAATGTGACAAACTGTGATTCAGATGCTAGATGATACTGCCGAGAGGTTCTTTGGAGTACAACGAAAGAACCCCATGGGCATGTTTGGAGATATATTCAAGGTGAATATTGATGCTTTTCTATAGTTCAAATATTAACCAACCCACCTTGGCACTTGCAAAATCAATGAATTAAGTTCTGTGCTAATTCCTCACGCAGTTGATGGGAGCTGAGTAATGATAATCAATATGGAGATACAACCAGATACAACAGCCACTCCGACAGAACATTTAAATATTTCTGAAATATTTTTTTCACCTCATCGATCAAAAGCTGTGTTATCTCGTGATTTGTAAATGCTTTTAACAAAATTTTGTTTAGTACCCATTTCAAGAAAAAAATTATGTAAAATTACTGTTATTAGCTTTTCGTTTTCTGGCAAAATCGAGGTTGGAATGACTTGCAGAGAACCAAAACTTTTCCTGTTGAGCACCTGTTTCATTTTTCATTTGATCAAGTTATAAATGGACGCCGCTCCTGAAATGTTTTCCCTTCCACATTTAACTTTATTCTACCCAACCGTCTAATTATCCCTTGCGCAAAAGTTTTATGAACCGAATCAATTTCGCTATCCTTGGGCGTTCATTATTCTCCTTTCCGATTTCTTTTTTTGGTTTTATTCCAACGACGGTTATTCCTGGTGTAGAGGAGCGTTGTTGTTTTGTTAATGAGTCTGCGAAGGCCACAACAACGGACATGTAACATCTCTTTGGTCTTTGGTCTTGAATGGATACAAACATCCGTTTAAGGCCTTCAAAAATCACATTCTCTTCTCATCCTTTATCTCTCCGATAATTTATTGAAATCATTTGTTGTATTTCATTGGTTTTTCAACTTCACCTATCTTCAAAGCCTTTCCCTTTATAATAACTTGGTAGACAGTCCCATCCCAGATGAATTTGGGAAAGTAATGAACTCTCTTGAAGCTCTTAGCCTTCGCAAAAACAAACTGAAAGACGAGATTCCAGCTTTCGTGGGAACATATGCACATTAGAGATATTATACCTCTAAGAGTAACAGTTTGAATGGAAAAATTTCTAGCTTCATCCAGAATTCCTCAAGGTGCAACAAAACACTTGAGATACTAGATTTATCTAATAACTTGATTTTTGGAAAACTACCTAATATTTTAGTGTTTAAATATTTGCAATATTTGCATCTTTCCAACAATCAGTTAACTGGAAAAATACCAGAAAGCATAGAGTTGCTTTATAAGTTGTAGTTTCTTCATCTTGAGAAAAATTATTTGGAAGGTCATATCAATGAATTGCATCTCACAAATTTGTCCCAATTGATAGAACTAGACTTACCAGACAACGGAAGTGGGTATCCGTTCAAGTCCAAACAGATGTCCCACTTCTGTTGTGTCTTTCGGGTTCTCTCTTTAATATTTAATTTTTTAATTTTTCGTTTACTAGAAGCTTCACATTGATGGATGGCAGGTGAATCGAAATGATGATGATGAGTTGATAGGTGTGGTGAGCAGAACTTCAAGGTAAAAGTTAAAACAAAAATTAAATATTACCGAAGGACAAAAAGGGAATGGGAAGGTGGAGGGAGAAGTGTGTGGTGGTGGATGGAGTAACTCTCTAACAATACTATTATTTGGTTTACAGTAACAACAATAAAGTAACAGGCAACTTTCTTTGTATGCCACCATAATTTCTTTCCACACCTTCATATATCTAAAATTTTCAATTGTACTTTCTTTTCATTTTGAATTTTGGAACATGCAATTAAGAAATGTTCAGAAAATGCATAATCTTAAATACAAAAATTATATTCTCTATTGTGCATTTTGAAAAATTTTAGATTATATTTTTATTTTTCATTTCATGTTACACCATCTTGAAATGTCTTTTTAAGGAAGAAGGTGAAGAGTGGAGAGAGAGGTCGGTGAAGGAAGAAGAAAAGGTGCTGGTGGAGGTGAAAGAAGAAAAAGGGAGGCCAGTGGAGGTGGAGTAAGGAGTGCCTTGGAGGAAGAAGATGAGGACACAAATGGAAGTGAAAGAAGAAATGGGTGAGGGGTGCATGGATGGAGGAGTAAGAAGATGAAGGCAAAAATGTCTATTCACCTAGCCTATGGAGTAGCAAGGAGAAATGTATGGAGGTGCAGGAACAAGTTGCCAAAGTTACAGTGTAAGACTTTGTGCAAACTAACTAAACCCCACCACCATTAGGTCCGACCTTAGTGGTTCCCCTTTTACTCTACTAATAAGCCATTAGATATTTTGTTCAAACATGCAGAAGAGGAATGTTTACACATACGATGCAGAACGCTGAACTTCCCAGAAATTATATGAATGAAATTTGTCATTTATTGATAAACAATATACAGATATAGTTGAAATGCTGGAAACTAGATAAAACTCTGAAGTTACTCGTCAACTAAAAAGACCACTCCATTGTCCTTCTTAAAGTTGTGTTGGGTATGATCAATCACCTGTTCGTAGAATAAAAGGCCATGTGAGCCAGAGCAAAATCGACTAAAACATAAAGTCTTTAACTAGGATGCATACAGCTGCCAAATTATCCTGGAAAAAGATAGGAGAAAAACTCACGTTTGTATTGCTCAACTCTAGATTGTAGAAGTCCATTGCATCAGCCTTAAATAGAGGGCCAGCATGCCACGTTCCCCGGTTAAGCTTAAGAAATTTGGAACCTGCAACCTTGAAAACTTGGACATCATCAATGTCAGGAGGCACGTATGAATGACCGCAACGGGACTGCACAATCTTCTTGCCTGTGTCATCCTTTAGTTCATTTGAATCAACAATGGACGACTTCGCCACTCCAAGATACCAAGCATGCCCACCAACAGACCCCAGGCACTGAGTCACGTTTGAGTGATGTGTAATACTAGAAAACTTGAGCGGGCGATTCTCAAGATGCATAATGTAGAACCTATCGAATGCACATGAATTCGAATAAGCTTTATACCAATCCAAATAAGAGAGTTGAATAATTATACAAGCCTAATAAAGTTGAAAAAATATGCACAGAAAAACATATTTAACGCATTTTTTGCAAAGATTCCACAATGAATTCCATGGTTTCTATGCCAAAGAATTTTGATTTCTAGGTTTACAGGGGTAACCAGATTATGTTGCCTCGTTAGTGCAAAAGATACCTCAAATTTATCTATGAATAAAAAGGAAGAAGAAAAAGGAAATATAATCCTAACAGCAGAGATGATACTGCAACACGAAATAAAACAATAAGCTAATCTCTATAAATCTATTTGGCCAAAGCATAGACTAATCAATAAAATATTAAATGTAACCCACCGAACCAATTATAATTCCTAGTGATGCTGGCATTAATGACCAGAGTGCAACTTTTACACTTCAAAAAAGACCAAAATAGGCAATTTACTCTCCAAAATATCCCGCACTTGAACATTGGCCCCCGAATATATAAGACGGTTTGCTTTCACCAAGTTTTATAACCCGGGAGAACAAGAACTCTCGCTTTTTTTCCTCTGAAACAAATCCCTTTGCATGTTTGGAGGAAAAAGTATTGAAGCCAACATTCAAGCCACAATGGTTGTTTGGCATTCCACGTTGGTTTTATTCCTCTATGAAGTTCGAAGCATTGGTTTTAACGGTGGCATAACTAGCTCAACTCTACCATTTATAAGGAAAGTGTACCTCATCTGAATCCGAGTTATTTACTACTTCACGATTCTTTGGAGTTACGCAGTTACTAATAACAGATGGTAAGAAAATTTTCCAATTTCCATGTATTGTTTTTTTTTCAACTTAAGACATTCAATTACCTGCAAGTTGCACATATTGGATGGCATTAAAATTCAATTCTATAACAATACAGGTGGAATTGACAAGAGGCAAAAACACAAGGGAGGCTGAGAAAAACCCTAAAAATGGAAGGTTGATTGAAAGATGAAAACCTGGGAATTCCGTGGGTAAGGTCGAGTTGAGCGTCGTGTGGACCAAATTCTTGGCCGTCTGGCGAAGCCTCGATGACCTGGCCGTAGTCTTTGAAAGATAACGGAGTTGCTTCCATTGCTTTCACTGTCACTACCTTCGTCTCTTCCATTCCAAAATATGTCTACGCACTCACCACCACCTCACACGCCAGAATTGGGGATGAGTAAGAATCGCTGCTATCTCTTTTCTATTCTTTTATTCTGGTCAGAATTTAAAAATTTGTATTATTTGTTCGGTTCAGCTTTTTTTGGAATGATCTTTGTTTAAATAAAAATATTATGAATTGTGCTGCGTACTAAACTTACAATAAATTTATATATTTTAAGTTAATTTTTTGTTAAAAAATGTTAATAATTTTTAAAATTATTTAACTTTTTATTAATTAAGGGATGCGATTATTATTTTTTCAAGATAATTAATATATGGTTTAGTTCAGAATCTTCTTTGTAGAAATCTTAATAGTTTTCATATTACCATTTAGAAGAACTTAACAGGAGGATGCTTGAAAAACCCTAAAGTAAAAGCAGGGGTGAGAGAGAGAAGAAAAGATGAAGGAAGAAGAGGTGGTGGAAGGCATAAGAAGGATTCTGCAACAGAAGAAGGAAAATGGAGAATTGGAATCAGAGAAACTAAAATGTTTGATCCCTCACCTCACTCATCCTCTCATAGACTCCATTCTCTCATGCAAGACTCTCCAACCCACCACACTCCTCTCCTTCTTCAATTGCCTCCAAACCCACGCTCCACCTCCGCTCCGCTCATCCCCTCACGCGCTTCTCTCCATTCTCCCTCCCCTCCTCGTCCGCCGCAAATTCGCCGACGCCAAGTCCCTCCTCATCTCCTTCATCTCCTCCGACCGCACCCACGCCCTCCACGCGCTCCTCCTCCGCCCCCGCCGCCCCCTCTCCAAACCTCTCCTCGACACTGCCCTTGGCGCCTACGTTCACACCGGCCACCCCCACCACGCCTATCAACTCTTCCAAAAAATGAAACGATTGCATTTTACTCCCAACCTCCTCACTTGCAACACCCTCCTCAACTCCCTCGTCCGCTCCCTCTCCTCCCACTCCAACTTTCTCGCCTCCGGCGTCTTCCATGACGCCGTCGCCCTCGGCGTCAAGCCCAACACCAACACTTTCAACATCCTCATCTACGGTCACTGCCGCCATAAAAAGTTTGACCACGCCCTTGCGCTTGTTCAGCAAATGCCCGAATTCGGGTGTTTCCCTGATATCGTCACCTACAACACCATTCTGGATGCCCTGTGCAAGAAAGGTCAGTTGAATAAAGTGAGGGATGTACTTACAGAAATGAAGAATGCCGGCTTGGTTCCCAATAGGAATACTTATAATATCCTTGTTCATGGGTATTGCAGGTTGAAGTGGTTGAAGGAGGCTTCTGAGGTTATTGACTTGATGACTAAAGATGGTATGTTGCCGGACGTTTGGACTTATAATACCTTGGTCAGGGGGTTGTGTGATGAGGGGAAGATTGATGAGGCTATTAGGGTTAGAGATGAGATGGTGAGTTTGAAGTTGAAACCGGATGTTGTTACTTATAATACTTTGATTGATGGGTGTTTTAAGTGGTGTGGCAGCGTGGAGGGGTTTAGGTTGATTGAGGAGATGAAGTTTAGGGGAGTTGAGATGAATGTGGTGACTCACAATATAGTGATTAAGTGGTTATGTCAAAAAGGTAAGATTGATGAGGCCAGTGATGCTGTGGTGAGGATGGTGGAGAGTGGGGTTTATCCCGATCGTTTTACTTATAATACTATGATTAATGGTTATTGTAAAGCAGGGAAGTTGGGAGAGGCGTTTAAGATGATGGATGAGATGGCACGGAAGGGTTTGAAGCCAGATGTTTTTACTCTTAACAGTGTGTTACATACTTTGTGTACGGAGAAGAAGGTTGAAGAGGCGTATGAGTTAACTGTGCAGGCTGGGAAGCGGGGTTATGTTCTTGATGAGGTGACCTATGGAACTCTGATCATGGGGTACTTTAAGGCTGAGCAAGGAGGCAAAGCGTTGAAGCTTTGGGAGGAGATGAAGGGAAGAGGGATTCTTCCTAGTGTTGTCACTTACAACACTCTAATCAGAGGCTTATGCCTGTCTTGGAAAACTGATCAGGCAGTGGATAAATTGAATGAGCTTTTGGAGAAGGGTTTGGTCCCTGATGAGTCTACATGTAACATCGTTATTCGTGGTTATTGCTGGGAGGGAATGGTAGAGAAAGCGTTTGAGTTTCATAACAAAATGGTAGGGAAGTCCTTCAAACCAGATATCTTTACACGTAATATTCTCCTTCAAGGACTCTGTAGAGAGGGCATGCTGGAGAAAGCTGTTAAACTCTTTAACTCATGGGTCTCTAAAGAGGCTTCCGTTGATGTAGTTACATACAACACATTGATATCAGCCCTTTGCAAAGAAGGGAGACTGGAGGAAGCATTTGATCTTATAACTGAAATGGAAGGTAAAAATTTGGAGCCTGACCGGTATACATATAATGCCATTGTTAATGCGCTTACACATGCTGGTAGGACTGAGGAAGCTGAGAAATTCATGTCAAAACTTTTAGAGGCAGGGCAAGATATGAAACCTCATGAAACTTCCCAAGAGCTTGATGCTTCGGGTGATATTATGTACTCAGAGAAAATAAATGATTTGTGTACCCAGGGGAAGTACAAGGAGGCAATGAAACTATTTCAAGAGTCAGAAGAGAAGGGAATTGGTTTAAATAAATATACGTATATCAAGTTAATTGATGGGTTTTTGAAGAGGCGAAAAAGCGTATCCAAGGTTGCCCAACCAAATTGAAACAATAAATTGGCTATGTAATCATTATGGCATTGGATCTGGGATGCTCATAATGCTGAAGCATGTTGTAGAGGTGCTGTTATGATGACACTGAATAATTTCATGTAAGTTTACGTCTTCTAATTTCATGTCTAATTTTTTTAACGAGACCTGTAGTGGGATCTTATTTTTTGTGGTAAGGGGTGAGGATGTGGAAGGTACAGGGAGTTAAATTGTGGACCAGGGTGTAAGTATGAGAGGGCACCCAAGGTTGCGAGAGAAGGCTTCTAACTTGTTCTGCCAAAAAATAGCGTTTGTTTTATTCTGTAAATTCATAGAATTAGTTAATCAGCACAAAGGATTTTTTGTGTATGTTAAGAGTGTTGAATTCTTTTATGACATTAGTGGAGATTCAAATTGTCATAGCATATTTTACATCAAGGCCCTCCCTTCAACTTGGTTCTTCTCATGTTAATTTAGTTCCTGGTTGTTTGTTCTAGTACCCGTGAATGTTTGATAACTTGCTGATAAATATTGTTGTGTTATGTTATTATGCAGTTTCAGACATATTGTTCCGTATCTGAAGGGAGATGTAAGGTTGTCTTAGTAGTAAAAGTGGAAGAGAGAAAGGGACAGTCTTGGGTTCGTTTGAGTTACCCCCTCTCGGCTAACAAAAGCTAACATATGCTAATCTAAAAAAATTTAGTTTCAGTGTAAATGTCTTTCAATTTTATTTGCGAATCTAGTGATTATAGTGGTGATTTTGCATTTCTTTCTTTACGCTTAAATGATGTGAACTTCTTCATTTGATCTTTGTGCAGAATTGATGCATAAAGTTAAATTTTTTATTATTTCCAAAGAGACCATATCAAGTTTGTTAGACCTTGTGTCACCCATCATTGGCTTCCTCTTAGTCCTATGCTTAAGATGTTCAGTCCTCAGTGTGAGGAAGTACGTTGAAGAACCTACAGCAATTAGAGATAAAAGACCAACTTATAGTGTATAGGTGGGTTAAACCTCAACTTACCAAGCAAATTTTGTAATGTTGAATTTGGTTCAAATTCTACTTTCTTAAGAATTATATTTATAAATTGATGCAGCACATACGAGAATAAAATAAAAAATTTCCAACATCCTAAATCATTAACGTAGCACTGTTTTCATCAAATCTGTCATGTAGTCAACCCAACCTACTGGGATAAGTTTTGGTGGTTGCTGTTGCTGTGGAACTTCTTGAAACTGAGTTCTAATTATGTTTATATGTAAATTAAATGCAGAACAGGGCGCTACTGTTGTAGTTTTATGCATCTGAATTTGGTGCTATATATTGGATGTGAATTGGGTTTTATCAGTTTCCCTATACTACCCATATATGTATCCTGATTTACTGTTAAATGTGTTACAAGAAGAGGTTGATAATACATATGATGTATTTAGGTAAACAACTTAATACTTTTTAATGAGTTTATCACAAGAGCCTGTATCATGAGTTACTCACAGGCTTAAAAAGAACTTATAAGGTCATAGGCCCTGTTTGGATAAAGTTTTCCATATATTTATGTGCTTTAGTTTTTTTAGAAGTTAAAGGAGAGAACTTCTATGTGTTACTGAAAACTGATCCCTAATTTTGATGTTCACATGTGAGTAAAATGCTGACAGGCATTCCTTTTGTAGTCTGTGCATCTGATTTTGTGCAGCAATTTGGAATTTAAGTTTATCAGTTTCACAGTATTACTCATACTGTTCCTGCATCCATATCAAGCATGACCAGAAGTTAACAGGCCATAGGGTGTGTTCAGGTAAACAACTTAAATTAGTACTTATTCAATAAGTATATAACACGAAGGCTCGTATCATAAGTTAATTGTGAATTTGGCATAAGCTAAAAAGGAGTTTATAAGGTCATAGCCTACTTTTAAAAGCCCAAAGAAACACCATTAGTTCTTCCAAACGCTCCCATAACTGGATCCAGTTTATGTAAATAATTGAAATGATTTCTTTGAAGACTCAGTCAATTTTATATGCTTTGGCTTTAGTGCTTCATTTGTAACCATAAGGTGCATGTGAAACACCTTTTTGTGTGTCTGATTGCATTATTTGGGATGGTTCAAAACATGATTTCTTTGAATTGCTGCTTGGTATTGCAAGCAACTATTTAAATTTTTTCCTTCTTTGGTCGCTGACGGTTTTGTTGGCCTATAAGTTATAACTTTTATCAATGTATATTGCCAATTATTTTACCATATTAAGTTCACTTGCTCTTGTCTCTTGCTGATTTATGTCACTCTGCCGGATCATGTTGGCCTAATGTTTCTGAATTTGATTCCCTCTTTGACTATATTTGGGTTGTCTTTTGGCTTACTCTTTTGTAGCCTAGACTTGTTTCTTTGAAACAACTTATATATATATACACTCTTTAATTATATAACACCACCTCTTAGTGTCAGGAGGTTAAAAATTAGTGTTTAATCATTAATTGAAATAATTATTTATGGTTTTCTAAATTTGTACAGAATCCTATTTTTATCTTCAGTTTGTGCCTGTCTATCTCTATATGTTCTTTCGCTTTACAGTATTTTGAGCCTTGCGTTTAGTTGAATTTTTAACTTATACCAAGGTCTTCCTCATCTATCCCCATATACCTAAATGGAAAGGAAATTAACATGGGGTTTTGGAAGAAATATTTAAGAGAAATTTTCAGCTTTTTTTGTTGTTTAACTATATATGGTATTTGCCTGCCTTGTTCATTTCATTTTCACAATATTACTGATGTCAAAATATAATTGTGAACGACCATTTTGGTGGTGTTTAGCTATGAAAGTATACATCGTTATGTACTTAATATTCATTGTTCAAGCATTTTATTATGCATACTGAAAGGTCACTCTGTTTTATTCTTATGATTAACTAATATGATGCTTCTTCATTTTATATTTCTCACCCTGATTGCTATGTTAATGACTAACTGTCTGAATAAATTTATAAACATGGTTGGTAAATATTTGCAGCAACTGTAGACAAGGCTTGGAGGATTCTTTATTTTAAATTCTGTCGTTGATGTTTTGAACATTTTGCTTAAACATTTGTCTTTTATGTTCAAATATATCCTTTTTACAAGTTACCATTACTCATTTTGACATAAAAAAAAAAAAAAATCATTCGTTGTTATCAAATTTAAGAACGAAATGGGATAGCCTGTTCCATTGTGATCTTGAGTTTTCTCTTTTCTTTGTCTAGTTTTATTTTATTCGGTCTTTGACATGTTTATGAATCAGTGTTTAAGAATCAAATAATAAGCTGTCTAATGATGGTCGTATTGGATAAACAAATTCTTTTTATGACTTGAGCGCTGAAAATTCATAACGTCTAAACCGATCTTTTACCAAATTAAACTAACTTGGATTTGGAGTTTAATTTTGACACAGTATCCATCCATGTAAACCTTTTTGTCCCAACACTTTTTGGAATAATTGTGATAAAATTATTTAGTAATATGATAATTTACAATTAAATGGCGGTATAATTTGTGTTTACTCATATTACAATTAATCTTTTTTCTTTATGAAACGTGAATGCTCTACTCAAAATTAGAGCTGTCAAAATGGATCACAATTCGTTGGCCAACTAGGTCCACCACAGGTTCGAACCGGGTTGAGTTTGAAAAAATTGTATTTTTTTTATGCGAGTCAGATTTCAACCTGACTCATTTAAATTCAGCTCATGCGGATTGAATCCGTGGTGGACCGGATTGGCCTATCAATCCACCTACCTAATTTTATTTTATTAAAATTTAATTTTAATTTTATAAAAAAAGATGTTGCTTGAAAAAATTATTTAAATTCTTTATTTTCAAAATTAATTAAACACCCATGTTGGGAGTGAAATTTGAGAGTGAAATTAGTTTAGATTTGAATTATAGAAAGTTTGTAAAATTTTTTATTTTAAAAAATTATAATTAAGTGAGCCAATGAACTAACTTGAGGTGAGTCAGGCCTGATGACCTGTTTTGACAGCTCTACTCAAAATATATGATTTTTGTTACCAAGAATTAATGGACCATTTCTTTTATTGGGTATGTCTTGGAAGGCAGGTTCTTGCACCACCATAAATTTCATTCTGCATTTTTCCGTTTTTGATTCATATGTCCACTTTTTCCTATATATAATAAAACAATATCCTAGAAAATTGTCAAAAAATGATATATGTCCACTTTTTCCGTGTTTTAGTTATTTATCATTTTTTATTTTTCTTTCACTTAAAATTTTCATTCTCTTTTTCTTTAATTTCTACTTTTCGGTCTTTCATCTTCAGTAATCTTAACGTTGATAGATGGGTTGAATTCTAAAGTTTATGAGCATAACCTTGACCTATGATTGCGATCATGTTTATGAAATTATAAAATTGAACGAACTATAAAACTTCTTTATGACTTGAAGTTTTTAGCAGTAAGTGTTTTTTGTCTTTTTACTTAGAATAATTGTATCAATGGAATAGACGGGCTAACATGATAACTAATATGAGGTATTATTACCGAAGAAATGAGGTATTCAATGGTAGTGATGTTATATTATATGTGGTTATATTATAATATAGAATAAAAGTAATGTTCAACTTTTGATTTTGGCTTTGTTGTCGTAATTATAAGATTTACTTGGAAGAAATACATTTGTATTGTTAGGATGTAAAAGGAGTAGAAAATATAGAAAATACAAATTTGAAGCTCATCTTAGTATATGTAGCACAAGAAAATGCGAGTATCCTTTTAAATTGAGAGGCATGCCAATTTCTAATGGAGAGGGGTGGGTATTGAATTTTATATGTGGATATCATAACCATGTTTTGACATAAAGTTTAGTTGGTCACCCTTTTACTAGAAAGTTAAACTCTACTAAACATTCATTGCTTATTGATATGATTAAGAGTCAAGTGAAGTTGGCAAACATCCTCCTCACTCTCAAAGAAAATAATGACCTTTAACCCTTTTTATGAGCCAGTGTCGTATGTCTCCTTTTACGTTCACCTTATGAATGACTCTCAACCCAATATGTAGATGTGTTCTTTCCATTTTTATAACAAACAAATTCATAAAGTATTAAAATCAATATAGATAAAAAATAAAGAAATCTATAACACACAAAAAAGTATAAATACACACCATCGGATTTTGAAACTGGAAGAACTCTGAATTGGATTTCAAAATCCGGATAAAATCAAGTTAAGCCCTTCGTCGAATCTCAAAATCCAAGAAAAACCCTTTATTGTTTTAAATTCTGGAAAAACTTTTAACAAGAGAAATTTGATGAAATCCTTAATCGAATTTTGAAATCCAGTTAAGCACTCACCAAATTCAACATTTGATTCTAAATCTAGTTCATATTTTTAATTTGATAGACTTTTAACTGGAATTCAAAATCCAATAAAACCCATTAAAATTCAAAATTTAGTGAACATTGTTTTCTCATATTCATAAAGATTCTCCTTTTCTATTATCATATACACTTACTAATCATTTTAAATGAAATGTAAACAAATAAATCAAAAGGAATATGTACATGGAGTGGATGAATGCCGAGTGCAAGGATGAAAAAAAATGTTATGATGAAATCCACAAAAGAACTTGGTCACGAAATTCGTAAGAGCAACAAAGTTGTGGTAAGGGTGGAGAGGAAATTGGGAGGGAGGTGTGACACTAGTGTTATCGCAGAAACGTGAGAGTAAAAGTGGGTGGGTGGGTGGGTGAGGATAATTATAGGTGAGAGAAAAAATATTTTACCCTTGTCAAACAAAGGATAGTTTTGACATTAACATAGAATTAGGAGGTGTAGGAATCAAGCTTGGAGGTGCATGAAGAAACCTCTTCCTTGTTAGTAGGCACACTGCATATGGAGCAGCCCAATCTGATAAAGAAATTGGGTCAGTCCGAATTGAATTTCAGCCAGGTAAACATCGAGAGTCGATTTGGACAAGTTTCTTTACGAGAACTTCTTTTTCATAAATTAAATATGCATAAATTAAAATTAATTTACACATCAGTTAATATGCATAAACTCTGACATAATTTCTCCAACATATTTTTTAACACTTGCATTATACAAAGTAAACTTAATTTTTTTATACATTGCTATCTTTTAGAAATTA